CGGTGTGATGTAGTAAGCTTCATGGAACGGTGATAGCCCCCTCTGTGGTTGGTCAGTATTCTATAGCAGAGCCTCTGATGTAGCAAACACAACGGAAATTCCTCCTGCCAGGATTGCTAGGAAAAACCAATCAATGTCATCAAGTTCTGTCAATTTCGTTCCAGTGATAGTTCTGAAATTGCCGGGTTATTTGTACCATCTCACAGCCGAGATTTTGGCCGTCCCAAGCCCGATTATTTTCAAAACTCGGTGTGCATGTAAAACAGTCATCGTCAACACAGATGTGGAGTTTCAAATCAATTTATCAATCAACTTATATCAACTAATAGTTGATACGGTCATTTGAAGTTGAGGGTTACAAGCCTACCAGACACTGTGTGCACTCAACACAGCAGTTGAAAGCGCAGGTACATTTTTTATTTTTGGTTGACCCGTTTTGGGAAAGTGGGTGCTGCATGAGAACAGTATATGTGTGATTTTCACAGAACTGCTGTCAAAGTGACTGTAAAAAGCTGCTATATGAAACTAAAGGCTTGGCTCGTAAAAAACATGGAGAAGTATGGCTGACCTCTTTCACTTGTCCTGGTGGTTAGGGTCTACAGTTTCCAATCATAGGGTTGGAGGTTCGATTCCAGCTGCTGGCAATACGTTGTGGCCCTTGGCAAGCCTCTTCCCTCTGCTTGCCTCTCTCCACCCAGGAGTTTAAATTGGCACCAGCATTAGCTGGGGAAGCTACCTGCGGTGGACTGGCATCCCATCCTGGGGGGAATAGAAATATTCTCAGTTGTTTCATGCCAAGGAACCACCATAAACACCGGCCTAATGAGCCAAATTGGCTGGAACCAGACTTGCTTTTTTTTTTAACTTTTTCTCTCAGGAAAAAGGGGTGCTTGTAATGAGCAAGATACATGTATGTACAATTTTCACAGAATTGGTGCCAAAAGGACCACAAATAGAGTTACTGAAAAACTCCTGAAGGCTCAACTGCTGTACTCTGGTGATATCAGAAAAAATCTTGAGGGGGCAGATTCTATCTACTTCCTGGTTCTTTTAGGGTCAAATGAACACACACACACTTAACTGCTCAATGGTAATTGTTTTCAAACCTGGAAGTGATTTTGTTCAGGTAATATCTTATGACCCCTATTGGCTCGAGTGTCTGTATTTGATATCTTCAATATTGCCTTGACGTTGCTTTGTGCATCATCTTCAATACTTGACAACTTCCAGTCACTGCAGAAGACAGACTTCTCCTGATGAATGGAAAGCACCTGTTTCTTCCACTCCCACTACCATCTCTGCTTCTATCCACTTGCCAACAAGTGCCCTAACAATAACGAAAAAGTTAACTGGACTGAAGAAATAGAAAGGCCTCATTTCTATCAATTAATATAAATATTTCCAAAGCCATTTTCATAATTAAAACAAGCACAATATATGACCCTAACCCAATGGGAACAAGGCTATCGTGCATCAGACTTTTACATCTGCTGCAGTATGCTGCATCTGGTGGGGTTGGGGTCAAGGTCAGTATTTGCAAAGTCATACATGCATTTTTCACCATTGTTTTAAACTCCTCTTCTATAGGTTGTAGACTGCTGGCCCTTTTTGATTCCACAATCTGACTGTCTTGCTTGGACCTTCATCAATGTTCCAAGAGCAGACAGCATGACAATAAGGGGCTTGATCTGTGAAATTTAAATAATCACAAAATGATTATTCACCCATTTATAATAATTTTTTTTTCTTTTTACAAGATAAATATTCATTTCCATGTTGTTATTTTTAAGGAGCTGCCAAAACAACTGTTCAAAGACTCAAAATTGTAGCTTTCATCAGTAAATTTTGGGGGAACTATACCCAAGACAGGTTTACTGTTGGTTAAATTCTCATCAGCCAGAAAATATTTGTCATCATATCTACAAAAATTAAAACATCCGGCACTGTGCAGTCTCCCTAGTTTTTAATTTAGTTCTCTAAGACTTCAGAAATTAACACAGAACTGTACTTTTTAGCTAGCTGCACCAAGTGGCAACTTCAACTTTATTTTAAATAAGGAAAGATTTTCAGCTGAAGCAGGTACATTATTCAATTTACGTGTATGCCAGATCTTCCTGACCCTATAGGGGAGAGGAAAGGTTATCTCCCCCTTCCCACACACAGTGACATAACACCTTCCATTGCTTTCCACCCCACACAGCCCCTTCCCTTCAAAAAATTTCTTCCCCTTTTTTCCCTTTCATACATGTGGATGGAAGGTGAAGCCACCACAGCTGCCTATATCAGAAGGGTTAGCAGGTGTCAATTACATGTACGTTTGATAAGCATAATATCGTATCCAGACTTACATGTCTCCATTGTCCAGTCATCGCCAGCTGCCAGGTGAGTATGCAGGTGTGGGGTCCAGCATCAAAGTGTGCCAATGCAATGTATGCATATAGGGTGCATTCGATTACAAGGCAAACCTGGAAAAATAGCAAGTTATCACAAGAAGAGAAACTCAAACTAACTGAAGAATCTTCAACGGCAAAGTTGCAGGGAACTGAATCAATGGGGACTCACACACCAATTCTACATGTAAGTATCAAAACCAAAAAAAATGATTAACCCTTAAAAAAAAAAGACCAAACTGAAAAACTAAATAAGACTTGAAAACCACGAACTAAAGTTTAACCAGAAACAGAGCTGGAGGGCTGTCGAATCACAGATCAGCCAAAACTTGTAGGCGGGCCACCACATACAGTGTGTGCAGTCTTGAACACTTCAAATGACCATAACAAACAAAATGAAACATATGGGACAAAAGAGTCACACCGCCAGCTGTGACAGGTCACATGGTAAGACTTGAAGGTTTTCCTGAGTGTACATGTTCTTATACTGTAAGTTCTGTTTGGCACACTGTGCTGGTGAATGCTAAAAAAGGCGGATTATTTTGGACCTTGTGACTTGAAGAGCAAAAAGATTGCGGTTGCTCCATGTATTTATCTCTTCTTTGAGTATGTGTGGTTCTGAGAAGAACCGGGGAATAACTTGACGTTTCGAACAGTGTACTCTGTCTGTCTGAAGGAGTCTGACTGGGAATGGAGCTTATATGGTTCACGGAGGAATTTGAGCAGCTCGCCATCAACACATCAGACCACAGACCCAAAATTTGGCTCCGATATGTGGACGACACTTTCGTCATCTGGCAGCATGGACAGGACAACCTCTGACTCGTTCTGGAACACCTCAACGGGCTTCACAGCAGCATCCAGTTCACCACGGAACAAGAACGTCAAGGCAACATTTCGTCTCTTGATGTTCAGGTGACCAGAAAGGAGGACGGTAGCCTAGCCTGCACGGTCTACCACAAGCCCACCCACACGAACAGATACTTCCACAGTACGTCCTTCCACCGCCCCAAGATCAAGTCGTCTGTCAACCGGGCCCTTGTCCGCAGGGCATGCAACATCTGCGACAAAGAATTCCTTCGCCAAGAACTCCACCATATCACCGCAGCGCTGCAACGAAACGGATACAAGCCAAGCCAAAACCCAAGATCCCAGATCCACCCCCAGCCGAAGGGTCTCCTATATCCAAAGCCAACTAGTTAGGGCCCCTAGTTCTATCACCCTCCCCTACTTAGGCAGTACTTCCCACCATATCCAGCGTATTCTCCACAGTATTCAAGTTTTCCACACAGCCCCACTGCAGTTGCACAACCTGTTCACTTCGCACAAGGACCGGCAGGACCCCCAGCGCAGACCAGGGGTGTACAGAATTCCCTGCCAATGTGGCAAAGTGTACATCGGCGAGACGGGCAGGGACCTCCCTACCCGACTCAACAAGCACAAAGCTCATGGTAGGAAGGGAGAGCTGGAAAAGTCGTCAATAATCAAGCACTCCCACACTGAAGACCATCAGATCAACTGGAGCCAAGCTGAACTCATCCCCAGCATCGAAGGATGTATCCCTGCCGCATCAGAGAAGCCATAGAAATCATCAAGCATGACACAGTTCCCCAAGACATCGGCTTCAGCATCAGCAATCCTCACATCCCAGTCCAATGGGTCTCCTATACCCTAGCACTCCCCAGTTAGGTTCCCTCCTTAGTTAGCCTACAAGTCTTCTCTACCCTTCGCACCCAGCTGTTCACTCTCCAACTGCAAACCCCAACTGACACACATGAGTAAGCACACACTCAGCTCATGCAGTACCAGGATCCAGTGCAGCATCCATTGTTCCCGCCTTCACTGTTCCCGCCTTAACGCCTCACCGAGCTAATCCCTACATCTGGATCCCTCTCTACACCATATAAGCTCCACTCCCAGTCTGAATCCTGCAGGTTGCTCCCAGCAATCTCCCTGAAAGTGATCCACTTTTATCTTCCGGGGATACCGGTAAGCAATATCAGTAAATCTAGGGTGTATTGATCTCGGTTTTCCCCTCTTTCTGAGCTACATGTAAATCTGGCCTCATGGCCGATAACACCCACTGGGAATTAACTGACATCGAATCTGATAATTCGCATGGAACCAACCGGCATCTCAACAAACCCCAATGGAAGTCCAGGAAAAACATGGAAACAATCAACCACGATCCACCATAGATGTTCTATTCTGTCAAGCACAAAATAACTCTCAAACGCAAAGACAGAATAGAAAACGCCCGAAACCCGTCAATTACAGCAATGTTTATTCGGACTTGGATTATGATACCCCCTGTAGTGAAACTCCGTCAAAGCGATGATACACCGAAGAACAACCCTCCAATTCCCAACCTACTTAACTCTCCTGATATCAAATTATCTACAGTCAATCCAATACACATAGCTAAAGCACTTAACAAAGTAGGTACAGACTACATTAAAAAAGTGTCCAAAAAACAACCAAGGGGGATTACTGTTAAATGTCACACCTCAGCACAAGCAAGAAAATTGAAAACTTTAACTCAACTAGATCAATGGGTGGTACCAACAAAGTACGCCAAATCAGAAACACAAAGCAAAGGGGTCATAACAGGCATCCCGACCGATATAACAGATGAAGAAGTAATCATTATATGCAAACAACAAGGAGTTGTTGGAGCTAAAAGACTCGTGCGCAAACGTGACGGAAAAGCAGAAAAAAGTCTTTCCATCTGCCTGACGTTCAACACCCCAAATCTGCCTCCCAAGATACAACTGGCATATGAGTTCTTTGCGGTCAAGCCATACATTCCGCCTGTTATTCGCTGCTCCAACTGTCAGCGGCTGGGTCACACTGCCCAGAACTGCAGTAGCGCTACACGTTGCGTTTGATGTGGGGGACCCCACACCTTTGAAAAATGTAACCAAAAGGAACAGGTGAAGTGCTGTAGATGCAGTGAAAGACACTCATCTGCTTACGCATGCTGAAATACAATATAACAAGAAAAACAGGACATCAGAGTAACATATAATATCTCTTCCGCTGACGCAGCAAAAGCCATTAACCCTCCTATGCTGAAGTCACTCTTTGGGTCACTTGGTAAACACCTCAAAGAAGCACAGCTGTGCTGTGTCGTGCACTGCACCAACAGTCCCTCACAGGAATATCAGATTGCACTTTTGTGCTGCCCAACAACTGTGCTCTACTGTTTCATGTGCGTAACTG